AGTTGTGGCTCATGGGCCCAGCCGCTCCGCGGCATGTGGGATCTTCCCGGACCGGGACATGAACCCGCGTCCCCTGCGTCGGCAGGCGGACTCTCAACCACTGCGCCACCAGGGAAGCCCCCGCTGCTATATTTTTAATCCTTTCGACACTACCTTGTCCTACTTTTCGGGTTTCCAATCCTTGAGAGGCATGCAGCCTACTAATTAGAAGCTAACCAGCCTAGTTTCGTATCCAAGCCCTTCTTCTTGCTGGCTGCATGACCTCAGGAAGGTATTTAACCCTTCTGCACCTTAATCTCCTCAAATCTGAAGTGGGAATAATAATATTACCTTCTTCACAGGATTGCCGTGAGAATTAAATAACTTGATTGGTAGAAAGTACTCAGGTATGTATCAGTTATCTACTGCTGTGTAACGAACCAGCCCCAAACACAGCACCTTAAGACGAAGACATCATTTATTCTGCTCATGAATCTGCAGTTTGGGCAGGGCTTGGGGGAGGGCCAGCTTCTCTGCCCCACACAGTGGCTGGGGCTGGGGGATCTGTTTTTGAGATGACTTATTCAGCCTGACCAACAAGTTGGTGCTGGCTGCTGCCTGGCAGCTCGGCTGGGCTGTGGACTGGGCGCCTTGGTTCTCCTCCGTGGGCCTCTCTCACAACATGGTGGCTACGTTCCAAGAGCAAGAGACCCAAGAGAAAAAGGTGGAAGCATTTTTACGACTTAGCTTTGGAAGTCATAAGCATTACTTCCTCTATCCTCTATTGGTCAAGACAGTCACAAAGCCTCACCTGGTTTCAAGAGGAGGAGACATAGTCTCTGCCTCTTTATAGGGAGGTGGCAGGGTTCTGGAAGAGCATGTAGTATGAAAGGTAATGCTGTGGCTATCTTTGGGGAAAAAATCTGCCACAGAATAGATTTTGACACATAATAAGCCATCCATAGGTATTTGCTCCCACTAGTTTAAAACCATTCTCTGCTGTCCTTCACCGCAGACTTGTCTTTCTTAGAGGGTGGGAGTATAGCGTAGTGGTTAAATGCAGCTGCTCTGGAGGGGTGCTGCCTGGGGTTAAATCCTGGCTCAGCCCTTTACAGCTGTGTGACATTGGGCAAGTTGTTAACTTCTCTGTACAGTAGGATTTATGCTAGTGTGTATCTCATGGGATGGTGAGGATTACATGAGTTAATCAGCATGGAACACTTAGTACAGAGCAAGTAGTGTTAACTCATTACTTTTCTTATATCCTTCACTGGTGCAGTCCCTTCCAGAAAGACTGTCCTAGTTATATATGCTAGCAATGGAGCTCAATCCAGAGTAGGTTTGTGAACTGGAAGTCCCTTCGCTTCCAGACGCACAAAGTTGGGAGGGGAGAAAAAGAACTATACTGTTGTAAGAGTCTTATACTAGACATGAAATGGTCTCTTGATGGTAGACGTGATAAATCTAAAATGTATACTATAAACCCCAGAGCAACCTCTGAATAACAAAAGAAAGCATTGTAGCTAATAAGCCAACAAGGAGATAAAATGGAACCATAAAAAAATATACAGTCATCCAAAAGAAGGCAGAAAACAAGAACAAAGAACAGATGTGACAAATATGCGCTAAATTGCAAGATGATATATTTAAGCCTAATCATATTAGTAATTACTTAATTGTAAATAATCTAAATACTCCAATTAAAAGGCAGAGTTTTTCAGATTGGGAGAAAGGAGCAAGACCAAACTCTGTGCTGCCTACAGGAAACAAAGTTTAAATATAAAGACACAAAGAGGGAACTCCCTGGTGGTGCAGTGGATAAGTCTCTGTGCTCCCAATGCAGGGGGCCTGGGTTCTATCCCTGGTCAGGGAACTAGATCCCACATGCATGCCGCAACTAAGAGTTTGCATGCCACAACTAAGGAGCACACCTGGTGCAACCAAAAAAAAAAAAAGTTTCTCCTTTAAAAAAAAAAAGACACAGAGATTAAAAGAATGGAAAAAGCTACACTAATCACTAATTCAAAGAAATAATCAAAACTGGAGTAGACATATTAATCAGAGATAAATATTTGTATATTTATGTAAACTCTCAAAATTCAAAAAGAAGAAAATAACCTAATAAATAAGCAGGTAAACTACTGAAGCCCGTGCACCTATAGCCCGTGCTCCACAACGAGAAGCCACCGCAATGAGAAGCCTGTGCACCGCAACGAAGAGTAGCCTCTGCTTGCTGCAACTAGAGAAATCCCGCACACAGCTACAAAGACTCAACACAGCCATAAATAAATACATAGATAAATAAATAAATAAATAATTTTAAAAAAATGAAATAAAATAAAAACCTTCAAAAGAAAAGGAAAGAAAAAGGTAAAAGAAAGATTTGGAGACACTTCAGTTAAGTTGTACAAATGGCAAATAAAGATATGGAAAGATGCTCAACATTATTAGTCATTAAAGAAACACAAAGTAAAAGCATTGGAATTAAAACAATGCAGTACCATCACAACCTTTTAGAATAGTTGACTAAAAAAACTGAGCATGTCAATTGTTGGTGAGGAGGTGGAGGACCTGCAACTCTCATTCACTGCTAGTGGGAATGTAGAATGGTACAATCAATTTGGAAAACAGTTTGGTAGTTTTGTAAAAAATTAAATGTATGATCTAGCTATTTCAGTCCTAGGTATTTACCCCAAAGAAATGAAAGCCTTTGTCCATACCATACCCTGTACGTGAATGTTCATAGCAGCTTCATTTGAAATAGCGAAACCCTGGCAACAATCTAAATGTGAATGGATAAACTGTGGTACATCCATGCAATGGAATACTACTCAGCAATAAAACAGAATGGACTACTGATACACCCTATAACATGGATGAGTTTAAAAATAATTACGCCGGGGCTTCCCTGGTGGCGCAGTGGTTGAGAGTCCGCCTGCCGATGTAGGGAACACGGGTTCATGCCCCGGTCCGGGAAGATCCCACATGCCGCTGAGCGGCTGGGCCCCGTGAGCCATGGCCTCTGGGCCTGCGCGTCCGGAGCCTGTGCTCCGCAACGGGAGAGGCCACAACAGTGAGAGGCCCGCGTACCACAAAAAAAAAAAAAATTTATGCCAAGTGAAGTGTTTATGCCAAACACAAAAAAAGAGTATATACTGTTTACATAAAATTCTAAGAGATGCAGGTTAGTCTGAGGGTGACAGAAAGCAGATGAGCGGTTGACTGAGGATGGATGGGTGGGGGGCGAGGGCTTGAAAGGGTGACATATATTACCTTGATTGTATTTAGTAATGGTTTCACGAGTGTGTATGCATGTCAACACATATCAAATTGAATACTTTAAATATGTACAGTTTATTGTGTGTCAAATGTATCTCAGTAAAAGTATTTAAAACTCGGTAGAGAAGAGCTTTGCAGAGGGCAGACCTGACTGCTTTTGCTTAGCAGTTCAAAGTCAGAAGGACCATTTGTGACCCAACAGCCCTTTGAACCCTGCCAGTTTCCTCCCCTTTCCTGTTTGGTTGTGAGCTTTACACATCTGCTCCCTGCCACTGTGCATGACTCTTAATCCAAACATTTGATTCTTTACCCTCCCATAGGTGGGTCATTCGGAATGTAGGTTAGGGGAACCAAATTCTCATCCTAGATTCTCTTCTTCCCAATAAATTTAAAAAGCTGAGAGTCATTTCTCGGTGCCATTGCATATGTCAGTGGAGACACCTGAGTGTTATGATGAGCCCAACTCAAACAGGCTTAAGTGTAAAAGGATATTTGTGGGCTCAGACTTCAGAAACGCTACGAGGTAGATTTTGGGCACAGCTTGATCCCAGGGATGTAACTCGGGCAGGTTTTCCCCAGGTCGTGGCAGAGGCAGCCGGCAGCAGCAACAGGGAAACAGCCCCTCCTTTCTAACTGGTCCAGGAAAAGTTCCAAGTTCAGCCCTCATTGGCCGGGCTTGGGTCAGCACCGCTGCCTGAACCAACGCCTGTCCTGGGGGGATGAGGGGATCTCATTGCACTGGATCATCTGCCTGGGAGCCAGGGGTGGAGTTGGCCGGAGCCAAAGAATATGGACAGAAGGTAGGGAGAGGATGTTCTTCAAAAGCAGATGGGGCTGTGTTACTGGAAGGAAAGGGCATGGATGTCAGCAGGGAAAAGCCACAGAGGACACTGCACCAGTGAAAAAATCCAATTGGTTTTATTTTTTGACAAGGTAGTATATTAACACGCTTCCAAAAGTCAGAAGTAATCAAAAAGATCACTCCCTCTGCGTGACTTCTACACTGTTCCCTACATCCATTGTAGGCAATCAATTTCATCGAGTTCTAATTTGTCCTTCCTGTTTCTTTTGTTAAGTAGATATCTGTGTTTTCTTGTTTTCTCCCTTTCTTACACAAAAGATAGCATACAGTATGTGCTTTTTTTGTACTTGCTTTTTTCACTTAACAAGAGAAGGAAAAACTTTTTAAAATTGAGTTATGGTTGATGTACAATATATAAGTTTCAGGTGTATAACATAGTGATACACAATTTTTAAAGGTTATGCTTCATTTATAGTTATAAAATATTCCTGTGCTGCACAGTATACCCCTATAGCTTATTTATTTTATACATAGTAGTTTGATTCTCTTAATCCCTGTCCCTATCTTGCCCCTCCCCCCTTCCCTCTCCCTACAAGTAACCACTAGTTCTCTATTTCTGAGTCTGCTTTTTTTGTTTATATTCAATAGTTTGTCTTATTTTTTAGATTCCACATATAAGTGATATCATAAAGTATTTGTCTTTCTCTGTCTGACTTATTTCACTAAGCATAATACCCTTCGTGTCCATCCATGTAAGAAAAACATTTTTCACTAGGCATACTAATTCTTGCTGTCATTAGTACATGGGATGGTGCATTGACTTACAGTTAATAGGATATGTGTGTGAGCATACGAGGTGACTGCCAACCTTTTCTCCTGGTGAATGGTGTCTTTATTCTCTTAAGCCTGGGTTGTAAGTGAATCTCCTCTTGCAATGCAGATGGAGGCAAATATGCCGTCCATGACTCCTGCACCCCCAGTCTGAGCTCAGGGGGTGAGAGTTCCCCCTCCAGCCTCACCGGACACAACTGGGAGATGAATTATCAAGAGGCAGCAATCTACCTCCAGGTGAGTATCTTCCGGTCAGGACCTGGCCATTCTTGGCCCCTGTTGGTGGAGCAGGATAGCCGGGGTTCTGTTGGGTGCCCAGCAACTCAGTCAGTTCTGGCTTAGTGCTCCGTGTGTGAGCTTCTCATCTCCTCTAAGATCAGGCTGGGAGAGCCAACCCGATTGCGCCCACATGGAAGGGTGATGTGAACGGGCTTGTTCTCGGGACCCCCAGTTTGTGGCTCTGCCTGCCCCCAAGGTTCCCCAAGTCTGTCCACTTGGCCTCCCCTGCCCCGCTCCCTCTTCTCAGGCACATTGAGAGGCCGGTTCTTGGGAGGGAATTCTTTTATCTACTTAACACTGCTGACTTAGTGTGGGGAATCTAGAGATCTTTATTCCCTTCCTGTTTAACTTGCTGCTGCTCTCGTGTTTGTTATTTCATGCTTGGTTTTTGTTTTTGTTTTTTTTAAAGAAAAAGAATACTTTTTAATAAAAGTCATGCGTGCTCATTACAATAAGTTTCGGTACAAAGGCAAGGTGAAAAAAAATTCACCTAACGTAGTCGCTGACAACATTATTTAAGAATAATACATAGGTTTCATGTGTCTTCTAAAATAATTTTAAAGTCCTGTGGTAGCTACAGCTGTACAGTCTGCTTTTTTTTTTTTCCCTAGCATGTGGCATAAGCTTTTTCTCATGTTATAACTCTTGTAAACAAATTTTAAAGTCTTTATAATTCTATCTGGTAAGTGCATCCTAATTTACTTAACTATCCTGATAAGGTTGGATATTTTCTCTTTTTATATGTCCCTTATTATGCATTTCCTTATTATAAATTATAATCCAAGGAAAATCTGTGCCTACGGCTATTTCTCTCTTTTTCTCTTTAATATCTAGGATTATTTTATTAGGAAAGACTCCAAGAAGTGGAATCAGTGGGTTGAAGGAATCAACCTTTTTTAATGCCCCTGTTATATAGTCTCGAATACTCTCCAAAGGGGATATTGCCTATTAACTTCCAGTCTGACTGTCTATGGCATTTTCACCTTTATCTTGCCATTTTTGTCATTATAAGATTTCAGCTTCAGCTGTGCATTGAATAAGGGTTTGGGTGAGGAAATGGAATTTTTAAATTCATTTGAATCATCATTTTCCCCTAATCTTTTTTTCTTTGAAGCAGCTCTCCCTTGTAAGTATTTGCTTTGCTATTTTTTTAAAAAGATTTAATGAAATCCAGATACTTATTTGCTAGTTATTTGGGTGTCTGTGTGTTTCTCGCATTTTATGGCTGTACTCCTCAAGAAATGTATTTTTTGTTAACATCTTTATTGGGGTATAATTGCTTTACAATGGTGTGTTAGTTTCTGCTTTATAACCAAGTAAATCAGTTATACATATACATATGTTCCCATATCTCTTCCCTCTTCGTCTCCCTCCCTCCCAAGGAAATGTATTTTGATTCAGGTTAAGGCAATAGAAATGTTTTAGGTAAATTTTAGCAAGCTTGGGCATGCCAGTTGATGTGGCAGGGCCCCCCTATGCACTGTCACCTTCTCCAAAGTTGAATAGGTGTTAGACAAGAGGGTGGGATGGGTCAGAATATGGAATTAGAATAGCTGCTTGGTAATTCCTTCTTTCCTTAAGCAGGTGAAAACATTAGTAATAAAAATGGCTATCATCAAAAACTCTACAAATAATAAATGCTGCAGAGGGTGTGGAGAAAAGGGAACCCTCCTACACTGTTGGTGGGAATGTAAATTGATGCAGCCACTATGGAAAATAGTATGGAGGTTTCCAAAAAGAACTAAAAATAGAGCTACGATATGGTCCAGCAGTCCCACTCCTGGGTATATATCCAGAAAAGACAAAAACTCTAATTTGAAAAGATACATGCACCCTGATGTTCATAGCAGCATTATTTACAGTAGCTAAGACATGGAAACAACCCAAGTACCTGTCAGCAGACAATTGGTTTAAGGTGTGGTGTATATATACACTATAGAATGTTACTCAGACATAAAAAAAATGAAATGTTGCCATTTGCAGCAGCATGGATGGACCTAGAGAATATTATACTAAGTGAAGTAAGTCAGACAGAGAAAGACAAATATTATATGATATCACTTATATGTGGAATTTAAAAAATAATGCAAATGGAGCTTCCCTGGCAGTCTAGTGGTTAAGACTCCCTGCTTCCACTGCAGGGGCCACGGGTTCAACCCCGGGTTGGGGAACTAAGATCCCACATGCTGCGTGGTACGGCAAAAATAACAACCCCCCCCCCCCCGCAAACGCAAACAAATTATATATAGTTTAACTGGGGCACTTGCTGATCTTTCTAACAACCCTACCAAGTAGTTTAATCATCTCCCAGTTCATACACCTGAAACTCCCAGGGGCTCAATGAGTCCAAAGCCATCCAGCTAGCAAATTGCCAAGGTTGGATTTAAACCGTGTCCATCCAGCCTCCAAATGATGTTCTTTCTTCTCTATGTGGTTGCCTCATTTCTGTACCTGACCCCATGTATTCACTTGAAAATGGGCTATGTCTTTGTGGGAAAAGAGGTTACAGAACAGAAGGTATCATGTGAAGATTTTTATATATAAATTATATACAGTTTTATATATTGTGTTTCTGTATCTATGCACATATACCTATTCACATTTGGAAAGTTATTTATCTAAATATTAAAGGTGATTATTATTGTTTTTTAAAGGTGATTAGTTTTGGCCGATGGAATTTTTACTACCTTATAATTCTGTGTATGATTTGAATTATTTTACAAAAAATGCATCATTTTGTAAAATTAAAACTAAAAGCAAAAGTTGGATCCCCATGGACTACTGTAGTTCGTGGCTGTTTCTGGAGGATGGCTTTAGCTGGTGTCTGGTAGTCGTTTTCATGCTTGCAGGGAAGCTGCAGCATGGCCCCTGAAGCAGGTTGCTGGTGTGCTTGGGTAATTGGCTGCTCGCTGCTTTGAGGCTATCTGGTGCCTGCAGTTTCCTCTCTTCCCAAATTTTACCTGTTAACTCACTCACCCTCAGGAGCTGTGTGCTCAGCGCTCCTGTTGCCTCCAAGACAGTCCTAGTTTTCTGTATGGACTTCTGCCCCAGGGAGCAGAAAGCAAAGACCTGGAAGTCACATACAACTGGCCTGCCTTCTTATATTTCCTAATCATGAATTTCCTAGTTCGGGATCAGCAGCTAGAAAACAAGGCCAGTGTTCTCCTTAGGGTCTGGGTCAGAATCCAGTGACTCGGGTCGTATTTCACTCCGTCCTCGCTAGGGGAGGCCTCATCCTCCATCTCGTCTGTGGCAGTTTCACGTCCTAGCGGTTACATCCGAGTCCCCCGTGTTAGTGGTTTCCTCTAGGCAGACCTTCATCCCTGGCTACTTGTTGGAAGAAATTACCCAAGAATTGCATTTTTTTAGAAATCCAAACCAGAGGCTTCCCAGGCCATGTGTGTCCCCTGTGGCCATGGCAGTGCTGGTGAAAACCACAGCCTGGCACAGATCACAGGACTGGCAGCAAGGCTTGTCCAGCTTGCCCTCCGTGTGACCACCAGGATGTTTGTTCCCTGCCCTGTTGAGTCTGTGGTTTGTCTTTATTTTTTGATAACGAGGATAGGGGTGTAGGTGGCTTCAGGGAAGTGACTCACTTGAAGTTCCCCCTGCAAACCACAGCCAAGGTCAGAGCTCCCTGCCTCCCAGCTACTGGGCAGTCCTCGGGCTGGGCAGGGGCCTGGAGAATGATCTCTTGCAGGAGTGCTTCATCCTACCAAACACCTATTAAATGCCTACTGTGTGCACCAGGCACCGTGCCAGCTGAGGACCTGACGATACCTCTTGCCTTCCCAATTCTCTGAAACAGGCTTGGCGAGCTGAAGCCACCTCGGGCTAGTACAGGAGCCCACCAGCCAGAGCTGTTTCCACGGCACCATGCGCCACCTCTGGGCCCAGAGACACTTCTTCCCGTTGGCCTGGCTTTGCAACCTCTGCAGGAATCACCGAGCGTGTGTTAGTTTCACCTTCCCCAGAATAAGGGTTTATGAGGACGGTTGAGTGTGGCCTCATCTCAGAAGAGTCGAATAGTTGGAATAGTTGAAGGTCAGACTGTATTCCAGGACAGCCAGAATGCTTTCAGAAGGGCTCTGGGCATCCCTTCTGGCTCTGCCCCTTTCCTCCTCTAGGGATTGGAGCCAAGGGGAAGAGCCTCTGTTCTGAGTGTTTGTGCTGGGAGTGAATGAGACAGATTCTCCCGACTCAGCACCATTGACATTTGGGACCAGATAATTCTTTGTTGTGAGGGGCTGTCCTGTGCATTTTAGGAGGTTTAGCAGCATCCCTGGAATTTACCCTCTAGATGCCAGCAGCACCCCCCAGGTGGGACAACTAAACATGTCTCCAGGCCGGGGCGGAGTCGGGGGGGGGCAGGTGGTCAACATTGCCCCCAGTTGAGAAGCACTGAGGCAAGGTGATGCTTGTAAAGCATGAGCCAATAAGTGCTCTCTCTGTGTCGGCTGCTGGATGGGGTACCGAGGTGATGAAGCTGAGGGACCTCCCTTACTTATCCCTGTGCCCACCAACCCTGGGGAGGCGGTGAAGATCCCCTACCTCCCCCAGAAGGCCGATCCTAACTGGGAGGGTTATCTGCTTGTATTCCCAAGTGGACCGTTCCCAGTCTGCTCCGTCGTTTGCTTTGTACATCATCAGCAGGAGGCCAAGAATAGAGCAGGGCCGCTGGAATCAGGCTGTCTGGCTCTATGAGCTCAGGTGCTACTGAAGCTCTTTGTGCCTGGATTTCCTTGTCAGGAGTGAGAGGAGTGTGGAGGGCTTAGCGGGGCG